TTTAGAAAACCGTAGTAGAAAGCGTACTAAATTTCTGAAGAACTGCGCACTGCCTTAAGGAAATTTGACTCAAGAAAATTTCTTAGCCATTTCTTGTACGTCATTTTATATGGAGTTTTTGCTTTTCTTAAGAGCTGGATACTAAGCTTTATCCTGAGTTCCGCCCGAATAAAATTCATCCGAAAATTTGTCATCCACCCTTAGTAAATACATGTAAACAAAAAGTGAAAAGTGAACCTGTTCGTGGAAAATGAAACTCATGATAAGGCTGATTATTTTAATTAAAAACATATGTACATATTTATAAAGTACTTTATCTTATAAATAAGCTTTTCTCTATCAAAGAATCAAAAGTTAAGAACAACTACTGAACCCGCATGGCGTTAAAACACCCAGCCTTGAATTACAAAAAACCTAAAAAATATTCAAAAATGTTTCAGACCTATAGCTGATCCGAGTGCCATATATTATCTAAAAGCGTGCAGTCGTTTCTGAGTGAAGGGAGCTCTCTCATAGTGCAGGTTTTTAATTCCATCAAATTTCAAATCAAGCTATGCCGATGGAAAAAGTTCTTAATTAAAAAAAAAAACCTTTATCGCTTATCTCCAGGCTAAGGTATTTATTTGGCCTCTCATTTCTGAAATTCGAAAGAATGGTGCAAACATGATAAAAGCATTACAAGGTAAATTCATTATCTCAATTCGTCGGCCATGACGATACAAAAAAAAAGTAGTTTCATATTGAAATTTGCTTATGACGTTTATACTTTTCGTAAATTGCTCGAGTATTACTGCCACCTTAACAAGTTATCGCTTTGGAAATTTTATTATTTTTTAAAGGAATTTTTTATGCATTAAAAAATAACAACACGCAAGGTAAATTTACTTAATTCATCGTATTAGCATGGCTAAGTGTGTACTAATTTAAAATACCTTAAATTACCTTACCGCAAAAAAATTTGGCATTATATGCAGTGTTTCATTAGATATTATTATAGATATTAGGATGTTGCTTTAATTTGGATCCTTTTTAGAGGACATATGAACAAACGAATAGTTAAAAAGTGGCTTATCGTCTATGAAAGCACTATGGAAGCATAAACTTAGAGGGAAGTTAAAAAATTTACAAATTCTTAGAGACAGAGAATGTGTGTGTGAGTTTGAGTTTTGAATTTTTAAATTATATTGCTGGCAAACGTCAGACTGCCTCTCAATGGTTTTACTTTGTTATGTTTTTATCATGATGACTATCACAAAAAATATTATGCCGTATAATTATGGTGATCAGACTTGTGTGGAAAAAAATTCGGACATTTCTAAAGCGTCAAATCCATGATAAAAATATTTAAGGTAAAACCGCTCGCCCAATTCGTCCCGCCATTGGAGTTTTGTGACGTTTGCTAGCATTTTGAGTTTACTCCCTCGAAATAATACTAATATATATATATATGTATAATGAAATTATTAAATAAATAAATATTTATTTATTCAGAAGTTGAAAAAACTAAAAAAATTGGAAACGAAAAATTAGTTGCTGCTTTAACGGCTGCCCACATAAAGATCTTCAAGTTCCCGCAACTATCGTATATACAGAAAGAATGGATCGAGGTTTGTGGTGTTATGAAAACGGATTTGCCAAAGCGCCCCTATGTATGCTCGACTCATTTTTTGCCACACCACCTGACCCAATGTAAGCACAAGATAGTTCTTTGCAAAAGTGCCTTTAAGGTAAAATATCTTCAAATGCAAGCCAAAAGCTTCGCCTTAACATGCGGGCAGAAGTCCATTACAGACAATTGCTTCCATTTATTTATTTACATATGTATGTATATTCAAATTTTGTTGTTTCGACAGAAATATATTTCTTTGGTTTGTGTGAAAATAAAAACAAACAAATGCGAAATGACGGCGAGAGAAATTTTCAAAATGCTGGCAAACGTCGAAATTCCTAAAGTTGGCTCTCAGCGAATGTACCTTATAAATATTTTTATCATGGTCGAATCCATGAAATTTTGTTTTTAGTTTTTTTTTATTTTATGGCCTCATAACAATTATATTCAACAATTTTTATTGCGCATGAGGCCATTTTTTAATGAAAAACTATAGTGGAAAAGCAACAACAGTTTATGAAAATGGTAGAAGTGATAGCTATTTCGGAAATCACCACATTTCCTCATCAGACTTCTTTCAGTGGGATTCGATCCAACGACCCCAGCTGACTCAGTGTGTAGGCAATTGGTGGTATATCTTCTAATAGAGTTTTATTTAAAACAGAGAAAAAAAACTTGAAAAATTATGATTTTTTGAAATCCCTGCGCATATTATATATATAGATAGGGGTAAGTTGTTGCAATTTTGCATGAATAGAATTTTACTGCACTATTACTGGACAGTAGTTACACTCGACAATAAATGCAGTAGTGCTTGACGTTTTATTACAGCAAAGTTTTGATTTGCTATTTGCAGTAGTAGTGAAAGCTCTGAGGAAGTGAAGTGAAGTACATATAGTGAAATAAGCAAACCATTTATGCAGCCCTCTAGTACGAATAAATGTCTATTTACCCATACCCACACATGCGTACAGCTGTCTGCGTTGATATGTTGCTGCACTGTGCACTCCCTTTCTTATACACACGTATGTATGTACCCTGCAGGGAAACCGCGGACTGGTGAATCAAATTTCTAGCTCCATACTAGATCTTTATCGCCAAAAGCGAACCAGTCCGATAGTATCTGGATCCCCCCAGTCGAAAATCAGCGAAATGTGGTACTCTTAAAAAATTATTTTATTTCACTTTTTCCATTAGAAATCTACATATATCTAAGGTAACGAATTTCGAACTGATTCGAAACTATGGAAAAAGGAATGCAGAACAAACTAGATCGTATCTGTCGAAGTTAGAACTAGTTCGGAACCATCGAAAAAGGGAAAATAATTTAAAAAATTGAAGTCATGATACTTTTTTCTTTCGTCTGTCGATTTTACAGAGCTGGTTCGGAACTATTGAATTTAGGACCAGTTCCTAGGAAAACGCAATGTTAAATTCGCCAGTTGTTTGCATGCAAAAGAGATTCGTCGCGAACCGGTATTGGATCTAAATGTACTAGAAGCGCACCAGTTCAGAACTAGAGATTTTCCGCACATGATATGTACATACTTTTGATTTTATGTCGTAATGTGTGTACGTTGATATACATATGTATGTATACTTGTGCATATGAACATTCACTTAAAAATGTACATTTAATATATACTTCCTTAAAATATTTCAAGTATTTATTTTCAATCTGTCTAACACCTAATGAAAAATTTCATTCAATAACGCGATTACACATTTTTTTGTTGTAGGAGTTGTTTTTCCAGTTTTTTCGTTAATCGTGTCTACATATAATATATGTATGTACATATGTATGTAATGTATGTTCATTTGTATATATTCGTTTTTATACGCCACACTAACACTTTGCTTGATTTTTTCACATAATACATACATACTTATCGGTCTGGGAATGACCAAATAAGCATCAGTTTTTATATTTTAACATTTCTTACTGAAATTAATGCGAAATAGAACCGTGAAATAAATCGGTTTTAAATATTTTAGATGCTTTTTTATTATATATTTTTTCCAATTTACAGGATGAAATTAAATCACTACACTATGTTCCAGTTACACCTGCGTCTCAAATACGTCTGTTGAGAGTTCGGAAAAATTTCTTGTATTTGCTAATAAATGTTGAAAATTTTTTAGTATACATGGGGGGTCATACACACATATACATATGTATGTAATATACATATATGCATCGACATTTTAGGAGAGCAGCAAGAGACCAATTCAGCGTACAAACATCGCGAGAAACAGCTGATTTCATAGAGTAGTAATTCCATAGAATATAGAAAAAAAGAAGAGGAACGTGATTTGTTTGCGATGTTCGCTTCCATAACAAAACTCGGGCGTTTGATTTCACCAAACCAGCAACTTATTTCAACACATCCGTTGAAATTAACCAGCACTGGCTTCAGTCGCTTGCTATCAATTATGAATAATCATTAGGGTCACCCAATATTTTCTAGTTGTAACATCTATGGCCCGTTAAAGTTAGTTCAAAGCTCAACCAGAGAACATATATGAATGAGAAGGCGCATTTTCAGTGTGAACTAATTGTCGCCAAAAATTATTGAGTTGCGGTCGAGCAAATACAACATTCGTCGACGAAATGCACCACCACAGATTTTTCCGTTCCGCCACACTTCGACGAAATTTACCATAGTTTAAAGCAAAATGAAAAAAAAACGAAGAAAAAAAGGGAAACGGAAATCTAATAAGAAACCGTCTGGAACGTACCTGACATCACTGATGTTAGTTCTGACTTTGCCATTCAATAGTAAATTCTTCTGTCAAGCGTGATACATGGTCAGCATTAATATCACCGATGACAGTTAAGTTTTAGGTGGAATTTTATATCAGAATCTCATTTTAATGAAAAGTGTGCAGATAGAGGGTATTGAATATAAGACCTCGATATTCTTTGCTTTACACTCATCCACCTCAACGCATTTATCATCACCCTTATTGGTGCGTATTAGGCTGCATAAACGGTTTCGAAAGGGCAATCAAAACATTTGCCAATTTCGCTATACTTCACTTCACTTCCTCAGAGCTTTCAAATACTGTCAAAGGTGGACTACTGCAAATAGTGAATGAGCCCTTTGCTTTAATAAAACATCAAGCACTACTGCATTTACTGTCGAGTGCAACTGTACAGTAATGCTGCGAGTGTTACATAAACTTAACCTGAAGCTCCATAGCAGGGTGTGGCTAGAGATACTATTCTATGAAATTTTGTTAGTTGCATAAGATTTGCACCGCTCATTCGCTTTCAAAAATGAGATGTCAAAGGAAGGGGCTTGGGCCTCTAGATGTGCAGAAAGGTTATATTTTTTTAATAGGGTTGCCACCTGATTTTAAAATTATGATATTTACACCGTTCGCCTGATTTTCAAATATTGGCTTGACCAACAGAAGGAAAGTAGGGTTTATTTTTTTTTTAATAGGGCTGCCACCTTTTTATATGCCCTTGTTTTCAGCTGATTCAGCTAAGCGGCATTTGGACATATTACATATATGGATTTTATTTACCTTTCCAAGGATACCAAACTTTTCAAGCTCGCTCAGGAATTTTTCGAAATATAGCCATTTTAAATTTTCGAAAATTCCCCCTTCGCTACTCCATATCCTAAAAATATAAGTTTGCACCAAAAAAATTTGTATACCATTAAATTTAAGAAACAGGTGGACCACGTCAAAGAACGTATTTGGGAAAAAGAGAAAGCACGCTCCTGATGTTTCCACTCGTTACAATTATAACGTGTTGTCTCTGCTTATAGATTTAGGTTCTTTGACCACGCCCGCTTTTCGTTTTGTTCTAGCTTAACGGGCCGTATTCTGCACTTAGCCACGCTACAAACGACGAGCATCCTTTTTTTTTACTTTTTGCGAGCATGCTCGTGAACCGCCTAACAAACGACGAACTTGCACCACAAGCCGAGCGGTGCGCGCACAATGTTCGTCGTGTGTAGCCACTGTTATGCCAAAGTACCTAAGTGGGTGTGAAGGCCCCTACTGAATTTCGACAAACAAAATATTACCTGGCAATGCCATCCCACGTGTTCGAAATCAAAATAATAGTTGTCTCACTTCCACTCATGTCGGCTACCAAAAACGGAAAATAAACGCGTATTTGTGGCCATTTTACTGAAAATTTTCGCCTACACCGCACTCCTTTAAATAATCGAACTAATTAATAAAAACAAAATCATCTGAAGATACTAAAATATGTAAGTAAAATTAATCTTATTACAAGCGTTTGTAAATAACAGCAGCCGATTGATAATGTGTATTTAATCCAGGGCTCATGAGCGTTCGCCATCTGCCGAGGCGGAAAAAGATGGGAAGGATGGCAAAGAATCGTCGACGAAAGATGTGAAGCCAAAAGTTAGCTCCTCGTCGAATTCGAATCGTGGTCGAGAGCGTGACCGCAGAAGACGCGGTTCAGCGTCATCCAGCAGCGATAGCAGCGGCAGGTGCGTCTCCGTATAAAAATATCCAAATATTTTTTTTTGTAACGTTATTTCATATTTACCCACAGTTCGTCAGACAGCAGCTCTTCTCGAAGTAGCTCGGGATCGGGATCACGCTCTAGCTCTTCTAGTTCCAGTGGTTCATCCTCTTCTTCTTCGTCATCATCAAGCGATTCTGAACGCGGCGTTAACAACCGACGTCGTGGTGGTGGGGGAAACTCAAATGCAGCTCGTAAGAGTGGTTCGCGCTCTCCGCGTCGCTCTAAATCGCCCCGTGCCACGAGCAAGATTCGCAAGGACAAGTCTCGTTCCAAGGATCGGGAACGCGACCGTGAACGCAATGAGCGCGATCGTGATAGAGACAGAGAGCGAAATGAACGCGATCGACGGCGATCGCGGACACGCTCGCGTTCCAAAGATCGGGATCGTGCACGACGTACATCAAACGATAGAGGTGGTGCAGGTGGAGGTGGCGGTGGTGGAGGAGATGGCGCAGCTGCCAAGCGCGAACGTTCAAAAGAACGCGATCGCCGTTCCCGCTCACGCTCGGGGTCACGATCTCCACGTCGCCGTGTTCGCAGCTCCGGTGAACGCAGTCCGCCGGCCAAGCGACGAGATCGGACCCGCTCGCGATCGGCCACTCCAAAGCCGACGCGTATTCATGTTGGTCGATTAACCCGCAACGTAACCAAGGAACATGTCATCGAAATTTTCAGTTGCTTTGGTGAGGTTAAAAATGTTGAATTCCCGACGGACCGCTATCATCCTTCTTTCGGACGTGGCATGGCATATGTGGAGTATGCTACGCCGGAAGAATGTGAGACGGCTATGAAACAGATGGATGGCGGGCAAATTGACGGTCAAGAGGTTACTGTATCGCCGGTACAAGCACTAAAAATTCGTCCTCCTGTTAGGCGCCCTTCACTCACAATGCGACGTCCAGCTGGTCGCTGGCGCTCACCGCCGATGTTTAACCGATTTAATAATCGCGGAAGGCGTTCGCCTCCCCGCGGCAGGCGTTCGCCTCGGCGCCGATCACGATCACCTATTCGTCGACGCCGGCGCAGTAATAGCTCAGACAGCTCACGTTAATATTCGTGCACAAGGACGATCAATGCAAGTTTTAAAAAGGAAACCTGAGGGCAAATAAGGATATATCCAGTACTTGCTAATAAAATGTTATTATTTAAATTTAGTTACTTGGTATTTTACGATTAGGTCGTAGACGTAATCGAGCCCTAACCGCCAAAAAGACGTAAGCGACATTTTTCTTTTTGATGGAGAAATGTTCCTAGATGGCATGGTACACTAATTACAGGTATTGTCTTCCCAGAGAGTTTTGCTTCACATCGAAATTCGTGCTCCCTTATTTTCATTTTGACGCAGTTCAATGTTGATTCTTTTACTTTTATTTGGCTTTGCTTTTTGCTTTCGCTCAATGTAATTTCTATAATTTTTCAAAACAAAATAAAAAACGTTTGAAATGAAGTGAGCCATACAAATTTTGAGTTTATTTAAAAAGCAAATGTTTTCTTTCGGCATTTGCAAATTAATTAAGTCCTCTGCAAGAAGCTTTGTTTAAAAAAATACGTGTACATATATGGTATACGTAGCAGTAAACCTTTGTGTGGTCAACAATGTTTTTCAAATAAGGCAGATCGGAATATGCGCTCTCTGGGAAGACGATACCTGTAATTATTGTACCATGCCTAGAATGTATAGATTTATTTCTGTATAAAAAAAAAAAATGTCGCTTACGTCTTTTTGGCGGTTAGGGTTCGTAATGATAATACAAACGTAAAATCAAAGTACGGTATCAAATTCACTAATTAAAAATTTAGAATCGTATGATATCAACAACGCTAGCGACTTGAGGCGATTTTATCAAAAGAGTTTGAGAAAATATAAAAGTAATTGCTATATACCATTTATAAATGCATAAGTCTTTTCTTGACGTATATATGTATGTATGTACATGATTTATGTATATAGTAGGCGAGGAATTAAACCTTCTATTAAAATCTTAATGAAATACAAAGATAATGTAGTTTCTTATTTGGAATTACGTATAATGGTTAATGTATAAACGTGCAATGCTCAGATGATAGGGGACAGCCATCAGGATGATGCAGATGAAAGAAGCAGACACGCTTTTTGACCGTTTGTTTAGCCTTAGAATTTGGTGTTTGGACAAGTGGTTTCCGTATTCCTATAAAATCTTCCCCTAAAAACTCAAATATTTCATGTTTATTCCGCAGCAAAGTTTTAATACCACCACATTCGGCTTTGATGTTTTGCAGATCGGTCCTCTCTAGATTTTTGACAATTTCATACATACGCAGACGGATGCCTGTCCGCCATTTATTTTCATCTTTATCTGTGGGTATATTGCTAGCAGCAGACAAGAGTTGATGAAATATTTTTAAAACTAATGAATCTATAATATTCTTTTCGATTTGGGTACAATTTCGCACTGCTTCATGTCTGTTACGTAACTTCACGTCCGCATTCGATGTGCAATTGCCATATTTTATTCGCTCTTCTTTCACAAACGCTTCTATCTCCTCAAGCCTTCTTTCATAATCATTTTGTGAGCAAGTACGATCAATTCCTATGAGTGCCAGGCGCTTTGTACTTGGAATTTTCAAACGATCTTTCCATGTATCATACCCACAACTTTGTGAAATAGTTTGCAAGTAGGCGTAAAAATCTTGATATACGCTGGTACTCGTATTCCGCCGTTGAAACTTTATGCCAGACAGCTCATATGCGCAACAGGGCAGAAGAAAGTAACGCATTTGAAAACCGCTGGTGGCGGCCAAAACGGGCAGCCATGGGGAAAGTTCATCGGAATGATTTCCAATTAACCAGTCTACATCTTCTGGCAACTTAAATTTATGTGGTTCAATTGTCTCCTCAATTAATCGCGTCGATGCTGAATAATAGGACCAAATTTTGCGTGCACGTACATCATATCCATAGCCATTAAACCCTTCTTCGCTTAGCAAATATACTAATAAGCCGTTGCCGCAACCCAAATCGGCAAACCCAATTGGTGAACCAACGCGGCGCCATAAGGTAATTAAATAAGCAGCTATCGCCAAATCCTCGTATATGAATTTCATAGGGTCGGTAGATTCTTTTGCGGTGTTCCAGCACTAGGAATGTGGATATTGAGTTTTTCAAACTTTGTTTTATGTAGATACGTGCAAACCAAATGTATTTGGTTTAAATCTAAGTTTCTTACATTAAATGCTTTTTCAGCGTATTTAGACTTGAGCATCTTGTACAGCTCGTTGTATTCCTCCATGTCAACTAACTGCAGGGATTTGGTGTGCTTACTTCTCTCTCCAAACAGAAGCGTACTTGGATTGGTGCACCACTTTAACAGTTTTGGTTTCAAAACGAAGTCAATCCATCCTTTGCTCTTGCCCAGTACGCCACCATCAGTGACTGCATTGAATGACAATTCGCCATTGGCCCAGTAAACGGAAAAATCGTCTAGATGATCACAGTGAAACTTACAGGTGTATATTTTTTTTACAAGATCTAGTCAAAATAATTTGAAAAACTTAATACGGTTTTAACCTCACAATAGTAATTCATTTACCTATTTTTCCTACAGCCTCGATATTCTTGTGCAACTTCTTTGTCAAGAATTTAAAAAGTATTAGAAATCCATCGCAATCTTCACGGGTGTAATCAGATTCTCCGATTTTATGGAGAACAGATTCCATATCAGCTTCCGTGGTTTCGTGCACATTCTCCACATTGTTCCGAAATTTCCATATATCATGCAACCGACAATCATCCCTTTCGAAACATTTTTCAATTTCATTATTCACTCTAAGCACTTTATGTATTATACAGGCAAAAATTTTCCTATTAACTGTGTGATAATTTCGCATCAAAATAAGAACGCCGGCCCAAAATTGAGCCTCCGTAAGAAATCCATCCATTTGTAAATACTCAAAAATTTCTGAAAACATACATAAATACCCTGTAAGATCTCGGAATATACTTAGGGCCCTGTCACACGGTCAGTAATTATCGCGATATTTGGATCGCGATGCATATTGATGGATTGATGGATAGCGCACGAATGCTGCATGTTCAATATTTATCGTGTCAGTATTTGCATAATTTTTGTGCTGAACGCTTATTATGACACAAGGAAACATTTTTATTTTTAACCGACTTCCAAAAAAGGAGGAGGTTATCAGTTCGTCGGAATATTTTTTTGTTTGTTTTTTTTTTTTTATGTATGTTACCGCATAACTTTGCACCACGTCAACCGATTTCAATAATTCTTTTTGCGGAAAGGTAGTGTCTCAGAGGTGGTCCCATACTAATTTGGTATAGATCCGATCATTGGATCATGAAATATATAGATATATATATTTTTTTTTAAGTCGGGTTTTTTTTGCTAAAAATTACTTGTGTACGTATAATTTACAGAAAATGCATAATTTCCAATGTCAATTAAAATTCGTTCAATTTGTTTTGAAAGATTTTAAGCCCCGAGAGCGAAGGCAGAGCGAATACGTTTTCGATGTTCGCATTATGAGAGTAAAAAATGTACTGACGAAATCGATGGATCGCGTTTTGAAAGTGCTACACGTTCAATATTTATTGACGGTATTGCAATTCGCGATCCAGACTTCAAAATTTTTAGAAATTTTGCGATATGATTCACGATCCATCAATACTGCATGCTACACCGTCAATAAATATCGCAATACTTGGATCACGTCAATAAATACTGGCCGTGTGACAGGGCCCTTAGACCACTCCACATACTAAACAGTGCAAAATACTATTTACATACATTTAACATTCAATGACCAAGCCTTGTATTTTTATTTTTACTCAAAAAAGTTTATTACTGTGTATTCTGCGTTTACTATTTTGTTCATATCAGTTATCGGACTTGAAATAAAAATTGTGTGGTAGAATCTGGAAAAAAATGTGGTAGATTTCAAAAAAATGTGGCAGATCTCAGGTTTTGGATTAAACTTTGTAGAAAAATTAAAAAAATTCTGCAAGGTTTCACCTGAATTGCAAACATTTTTATTAGAATCTAAAAATATTTATTTTAGTATAATAAAGTGCAAGATTGAAGTTGCTAAAAATTGCGTTGAGTTTTGGCAATTTTTTTTTTTCTTGACAGTGTTAAGCGAAGCGCACATTGGCGCGATTCTGTCGTTGCGAATCCGCAAGCCCAAAAATTACAACAATGCTACCCATACATTTTAATGCGCTAGCGCACACTTGCACGGTTCCGTCGCTGCGAATTTTTCGAACATTCGATGTTCCTCTCTATTGACGCGTTCGAAACGCGGCTTGCAGCGTTTTGAAGGCGTCAAAGAAGAAGAAGAAAGGTGTCACAGCAATAAAGGCAAAGAAAAAAAAAACGTGTAATGTACAAAAACTAATAAAAACGTTCGTAATAATAGTATTTTGTACGATTTGGGCACGCCGAGTGCGAAAATACACGAAATAAAGGGAAAATTGAGTGAATTGTACATCGGAAATCGACGCGAAAAAATCGCTCTAGTGTGCGCACGTTTGCGGATTCGAAGTTAACAGCCGAATTCGCAACGATGGAATCGCGCTAATGTGCGCTTCGCTTTAAGCAGTTCCTTCCATATCAAGATATTTTTCGAACATATTTTGAAAGATTTCTGCAAACTTAGGGAGTGCTGCCAGCTTTTCTTTTTATCACATCACGATGTAGCGAACAAATGTGGCACTTTCCAGAAACCGCTTCTTGGGATTTGCCGATTTTGACAATTCTCAAGTAAAAGTAAACAACGCTTTAGAAACTTTAGATGCACTGAAATCTGCTACTTTCACAAAAATCGCCATTTTTTAACATTTTCGCTGTTAATTCTTTTTTATTAATCATATATTTTGAAATTTAACACAATAAAACCACGTTTCTCGTCGAAAAATTGAATATTGAAAAAATTTACTATTTTACGGTTTATTTTATTCTCCCATTCTGCCTGTTGTTAGTTTTTAGTGTTGGACAATTTTTGCTCTTAAAATTAAGAAAATTATCTCGAGCAAAAACTCGAATATGTGGTAGATTTCAGACCTTGTGTGGTAGATGTGGTAGATGCTCAAAAAAGTGGCAGATCTACCACAACGTGGTAGAAGTCCGATCACTGGTTCATATGTGTTTCGTTTCGTTTGGTATTTTCTTCCTTTTTTTATTTTAAAACAGAAAATCCTCTGCCATGTCCTTTATTCGCAACTCCTTAAAATATGTTACCCGTGCTTTCAGTCCTAGAAGTCAGCAACAGATTCCTCGAGTGGTAAGTCAAACTGTCTGTTGTCTCAAGGTCGCTAGTGGTAAGAAATTTCATTTTCACCAGCAGGTTTTGACTCAAGCAAATCGGTTTAGGTGTAGTGGCACCGTGCACGCTGATGACCAAGCTCAGTTTCCAGGAGCTAAAGCGCCATTCATATCAGAATTAAAGTTGATTTTGCACACTGACTATGAGCCTGTGCCAATTTATCGCGTCATGGACAGTGATGGTCACATTGCAAATGAATCTCAAGATCCCAAACTAAGCAAAGAAGTCGTACAGAAGATGTTCAATGACATGGTTTTGTTGAACACTTTGGACAAAATTCTGTATGAATCACAGCGCCAGGGGCGTATTTCATTTTATATGACAAATTTTGGTGAGGAGGCATCTCACATTGGCAGTGCAGCCGCATTAGAAATGAGAGATTTGATCTATGGGCAATACCGTGAAGCCGGTGTACTAGTTTGGCGTGGTTTCCGCATCGATCAATTCATTGATCAGTGCTATGGTAACTGTGACGATGTCGGGCGTGGAAAGCAAATGCCAGTTCATTATGGCAGTAAAGAAATGAACTTTGTAACCATCTCTAGCCCTTTATGTATGCGTTAAGACTTAAACTCAATCTATTGATGTTTTACATATTTCTTATTCAACAGCGACGCAGATGCCGCAGGCGGTGGGTGCCGCATATGCGATGAAGTTGAGACCCAAAAATGATGCTTGCGTTGTTTGTTACTTTGGAGAAGGAGCTGCCTCCGAAGGAGATGCTCATGCGGCATTTAACTTCGCGGCAACTCTTGAATGTCCAGTTATTTTGTTTTGGTATTGCATCATAGCGCTTTTTAGTAAAACAAAATGTAACTAAAATTTCTTAATTTCAGTCGAAACAATGGATTTGCCATTTCCACTCCATCACACGAACAATATAACGGCGACGGTATAGCTTCCCGTGGTTACGGGTATGGCATGGCAACTATTCGTGTAGATGGGACAGACGTATTCGCTGTGTACAACGCAACGAAGTTGGCCCGTGAATATGTTCTTCGCGAAAACAAGCCTGTGGTTTTTGAGGCTATGGCTTATCGGTTCGCACCACCTTCATTGTTCATTTACATAAATTAATCATATATCTTATTGTATAGCATCGGCCACCATTCTACATCAGATGACAGTACAGCTTATAGAGCAGCGGATGAAATTGAAGTTTGGAATTCCGTAAATCATCCTATTTCCAAATTGAAGAGCTACATGGTTCGAAAAGGCTGGTTCAACGAGGCCGAAGAACAAGAATTTGTAAAGGGAGTCCGCAAACAAGTTTTAAAACAAATCGGCGTTTCTGAGAAGAAACCTAAACCAAATTGGAAAGAAATGTTTGAAGGTGTTTATTGTGAAATGCCTGCACATTTGGAAGAACAAATGAGGGAATTAGAAGGACACATCAATAAACATAAGAATCACTACCCAGTGAAAAGCTTTAAGGCTTAAATGCATGTACATATATGCGGCTTACAGCATGCCGGGTCATTCCGATATAACAAAGGCTTTGGCACAACTTATGGGACTCAGTAAAAGTGCATTTATTAATTTTAAGGAAACTATTCAAAACTGACTGCATATTTGCTAAAATATGTACATACACGCTTGCTTAGAGTGAAACTGGATCAAGTCATGATTTAAAAAATTGTACAGAAAAAAAAACAATTCCTTTAATGAAAAATATTGTATACTTCTATTCATTATGCTGAATTTCCGCTAGGCATTGAAATGACAAAAAATTTATGTCATTTAAAAACAATGCCATGTGGAAATGATCTTATTGGGCCTGAGCACACTAGCCTGCTCAGTCGGACTGAGCAGTCCACCACTCGAACGCACACTGGACTGGGCAGTCGGCCGAAAACAGGTTTCAGTTTTGTATACATGAACTACGCATGATTGGCTTAGTGCATGTGGCACATGCAAACAAAACGAAATAGAAAACATGTTGCCTATGTGTGCGTGTCAGTCCACCGTCAATCCGCGATTTTCGCGGACTGAAATGAGCGAGGTAAACTCGAACTCCCTTCCCCTCTTATCCACACAAAACCGGTTTTAGGCGGACCGAGCAGTCCAGTGTGCGGAGGCCCAATGACTATTTTTTTAATGTAATAACACGATTAGTTTTTAATGCCCGACTTTGTCATTTGTAATTTTTGCCATTTAATGCCGAGCGGAAATCCAGCATTATAGAATTTTCAAAAATTTCTTTGGATTTGCGATTAACTGAATATAAACGGATAGAACTCATAAAGTTGGAATCGAATGTAATGTGTAATTAATATTTCTTTTTGTCGTAGCTGCCTTCGTGTAACTTAAAAAAAAAAGTATACTTAACTTTTCACTCCATGCTAGCGATATATGTACAATTTAGGTATTTGCAGGGGGTTCATGTAGCAAAGGAATATAGAGTAATTGTGTTTGTAACTGTTTATTAATATATACCAATATAATTTGCATCGTATTTTTTAAAACTTTGAAGGTTTTCTTGTTATGGGGTAAAAAATAAAACTATATAAATCATTAAATACATCGGCTGTCATCTAATACATCAATTGCCACTTTAATTAGGTAAACTGAATAAATTGCAAAATCAATTATGATTTAAACAAAGTGCTTGTTCATATCTGCGAATGGGTCATTATTACCAGGAATGAAAGAGTTTGTTTCAATAGCGATTATAGCCAAGTAAAAAGAAATGAATTTGTTACTCAAATATTGTCAGCTAATACATTGACAAAATAAAATGAGAAAAATATTCTGTAAAATTTAATAATAATCATTAACTGTAAAAATTTTAGGGTGTGCAGAGTACACATTTCTTTTGCTGATTTTCTTAATTGGTGCGCAATTGATAGTCGCCATTTTGAGTTATGTACCTCACCCAGGGCAGCGCTTGGTAGCCGCTTTTCTCGATGATTTTCAAATAACGAACTTGTATGCCTGATGTAGTAAAATAAGGAATCTCGAAGCGAACCTGAATCGGTGGTTTTCCCTCATTGTTGTCTTCACTTTCAACACTTGGGAGACCAAAATGTGCGCGCATTAAGTACTCTTTTCCACCAGGAAATGATTTAATAGTCCATATGATAGCATTTTGCTCGGGGGCATATTTGCAACTGCCTATTGTTGTTTTAAATTTAGGAGAGTCTGCATCTGCAGGCACGGGAATGACTATTTCGACGTTGTTTGCAGTTGAGCGACGCTTGAATTGCGACTTGGCTTTTATCATGTACTCAACACGGGAGTGCACATGTCGTTCAATGACCGATTCAATCCAAATCAAAGGCTTTACCTGTTCAAATATTTTAGCAAGAATAAAAAGATTACCCTTTCCGAAAAATTCCCTAAATTCTTACGTGAGTGTTAAGTCGATAGGACATCAGTTCAAACTCTCCATCTGGCGGTATGAACGAAATGGTTCGGTCGTTCTCGAAACGAGATAGACGCACGCATTGATGAAATTTGACATCTTCCAATTCTACTGACTTAGATTTTCCCCGTCCTGTGCTCTCGAATAATACTTTATCATTCAATCCCAATCGTAATTCTGGCATGCCAGACAAGTAAACACGCATTTTTATGGCGCCAACAATTTCACTGCGCAGCACATTTCCATTGGCGTTTGCCAATAGATTTACCGATTCAATTACATCAAGAAATACTTCGTTCTTACGATATTTAATGCCTTCAGAACGCCAAGAAACTGCATTGGTAACTGCAAGAGGTGGGCGGGGTTGGAGTTCGAGCTTATGACCTTCCTGTGTAATATACTCCTGCAAAATTTTGGAATCCGTCGTCTGCGGATAGCCGAAATCAATCAACTCATCAAGTAGTTCGTATATAATAACAAAATTGTCGCGAATGGATTCCTCTTCCAACTCTTTAAAATACTCCACGAACACTTGTGCAATTTTATGTAGAAAAACAAACACTAATGCTATGTTAACATTTTTGTTTCGGGGAGTTGTTGAAACAATATAGAGATTGTTCGTCTTTATATACGCAAATGTGCTGAATGATAAAATAATAATTGTGTTAGATTAACCTCAAAAATTAGGTTTACAATTGGTTTACTTACTTATCAGCCGTCTGCAATATTGGAGTTATAAGACCCTCCTCTTCTCGTTCCATTAGCAGTGGCATGAACTTGTCAATAGCTGCCATATCTATGGTATCGCCACGATAGTTGCGGGAGATCAAAACTTTACCTTTGACATCAAGCACATATATGGCCGACGAGGACATTGCTGCACCTTTTTCTCTTATTCAAACCAAAACAAAAAGCCAACTAATGATGAATATTTTGCAGCAGCTTTAGCTATACACCCTGTAAAATATTCACTGCTATAACTTGTTCTTCAGCTGCAGCATCTATTTTAAGGCAATTTTACATAATTTATTGCAGTTATTTTGTAAATTAAATCAGAATAAAATTTTCACCAAGGTGTCACACAAATTGCACTGACGACGACAATTAGTGATGGAGAACTATCGATAGGGCTATCGATATATAGTATCGATGGTTTCATTTTTCAGCCACTATCGAATTTTTCTAAACCAGGCATGCCCAACCCCGGCAGAACTCTATAAAGCCTGCTATACAGTTCAATGCGGGCGTGAGCTTTTTATTTTGACCAATATCTTCGATATTACTTAACTTTTTGCAATAGTTGATACATAAAAAGATAGAGAATTAAAATATCTTTCGGAATCGTAGAATACAAACTAACTTAAAATGCATAATATACATTTTTTTTATTCCATTTGTATTCTTATGGACGCCAAAGAACGTAAATGTATAAGAAGCGACAACTCGTTACTTTGAAAATGGGCCGCGACGGTTTTGACCGTATCTGAAAGGTTGAGATGAGGAGTTCGTCTCCCTTTTAACTTTGTCCGCGGCAGATTTTTGATTTTCGCCTCGAATTCAGAAAATGCCAGCAAAACAGAAGAAAAGCGGCAAATGTGAATGTCGGTGATTATTTTGCACAAGTGATTAAAAAAATGTATTTTAATTTAGAAAATACATAAATGGAGGTGCAAACTATAAAATATTTAGTGAATGTGTAAGATACTGATGTGCCTTATTGTGAAAGTGTCCTTATCAATAATAAAAAGTGTTTGTAAGTGCCAAGTGTTTGTCAACAAGTGCCGATTGTTGGCGTCTGTGGATAAAAAGTGATCATTATTTTAAACAAAACCAGTGTAAAAAATGGCGTGTTTACGTTCTTTGTACATTTACGTTCTTTGGCGAACAGAACTATTATTTCACCTATCTTAATTACTATTGGATGGCAACTCCTATTATGTAAAGTTTTATTGTGAACGTTGTCTGGCCGAAATTGGGAACACTTTAGGCTCGATTGTGTCAATAAATTCTATCTGGGTGTTTGAGGAACGTCGTTTTTTATCCAACTCAGATACATCTTTTTTGTAAATAAGAATTGTATTCAGAAACAAAATTTCTTCTTGGTGGCCGTAGCAAGTAGAGAGGAAAACTATTATCATTTATTAGAAGAGCCATCTGGCTTACAGGTGCACCATTTCAGTGCAAGAAGTTTTTCCTGAAGCAAAGCTGCATCTCTATAAGAGTATTGGATCAGACCCATTATGGAGCCAATAGACATTTCACGTTTGGAAGAGGCAGTGGTTGTATTTTACCGCTCAACTTCCCAACAGCAGGCCATAACGCACGAATGGCTGACGAAAGCTCAAAGCAGTCCACAGGCGTGGCAATTTTCATGGCAGCTAATGGAACTCGGCAAGGTAAAGTTATTGGATTAATTTATTACTCCTAAGAGACACTGAAATGAACGTTAAGTATAGAGTCAAGAGGTGCAGTTCTTTGGCGCCGTAACGTTACACTCCAAACTTATGAAGTACTGGCATGAGGTCCCAGCCGAAAATCACGAAGAACTGAAGCAAAAAATTTTAGAGAAAATCATTCAATTCGCGTGTGGTCCAAAATTAGTCCTTAATCGGCTGTGCATTGCTGTAAGTAAACGTTAAAAATCGGATGTATTCATATGCTGATAAAAGAATATTGCAGCTCAGTGCATTTATAGTACATATGCTCGCGGAGTGGTCAACCGCCATAGAGGATGTAATAAATACATTTCAGAATCAGCATATACCAAACGTTAACAAAGAAATGCAATTATGGATAATGTTAGAAGTTCTACAGGCTATCCCAGAAGAGGTGTGTGTTATTTCAATAACAATTTGAGTCATATTAATTTTCAGCAATTGATTATCGCACAGATGCAAGCAATTTTCACTTCAGTTAAAAGGACGACTTTACGAGCTGAAGTAGCCAAACGTGCTCCATTAGTAATGGAAACCACTGAAGCTTATCTAAATATGCAACTTGAGCGTGAATGGGATAGCGAATGTTTCAGCAATATGACCCGTGCTGTTAAATGTGTTGGCACTTGGGTGAAGTAAGTAAACGACTTATATCTACGAAAATTGGGCTTTGCTTTACTATCCCCGTTTATAGGAATATAGGTTTCTCCATTGAGAATTGTCAGAATATTACAGCTATTTTGCTTAAAGTCACTAACAAATGTTACTGGCCCTGTGTACAGGATCCGAATGGAGACGGATGCATGTCTGCCGATGAAAACGAGTTAGCCGAGACGTGCCTGAAAACATTACTTAGTGTAATTATTCAGCCAGATTGTCACGCATATCCGAAAACAGCATTTATACTTATTAAAATGTTTTTGGATTCGCTTTGCGATATCACTAAAATAGAATGGAAGCGTGATAATAACAACGAAGACATTGTAGTCAATATTTACACACTATTTGTGTCTGCCGTGGAAAGGCATTCACAGTTGTTGCTGAGGGGAATAACTACAACAGATCCGGAACTTTCGGGCCTATATGGACGACTTGTTAATGAAATTTTACAATGCACCGATAAACCGGGGATTTATCCAGTCGAGGAGTCGTGCAGTAGCATGGCTATGGGTTTTTGGTATTTACTACAAGATGAGGTTTTTGCTATGCACAATGAAGAGGAGCGAGTAAAGTGTTGGGAGTATATAAAACCATTGTATGCGCATCTCACACGCATATTGGTACGAAAATCGGAACAACCGGATGAGAATTCTATTGACAAATGGACCTCAGATGACTTGGAAAGTTTTCGTTGTTACCGTCAAGACATATCGGATACGTTTGTAAGTGTTGTTGATTTTTCTAATGGTAACGTAAATATTGTCGTATGTTTACTTTGTCCATAATGTATATATCCTATTATTTAGATGTATTGTTATGACGTTTTACATGAGTATATACTCGACATACTAGCGAATGTACTTGATGAGACTATAGCCGAATTGCAAACAACTCCTACAAAGTGGACAAAACTGGAAGCTTGCATATACTCTTTTCAATCGGTAGCCGAGCATTTCGGTGCCGAAGAATCAAAACAGATACCGAAGTTGATGCGTGTTCTCTCAGAAATTCCTTACAGTAAAATGAACGAAAAGCTACTTGGCACCGCTCTAGAAACTGTTGGTTCATATTGTCAGTGGTTAAAAGAGAATCCGACATATATACCGCCCGCTATTGAGTTGTTGGTTCGTGGTTTAAATTCTAACATGTCTGCCCAGGCCACGTTGGGACTTAAAGAGCTTTGCTGTGTGTGTCAACTGCAAATGAAACCATATGCTGAACCACTCTTAAATGCTTGCCAATCGTCATTAGCTTCGGGTCAAATGAAAAATTCTGATTGTGTGCGTTTAATGTACAGCATCGGTAAACTAATGAGCTTACTTCCAGCTGCTAATATACCAAACTATTTAGACATCATAGTGAGCCCTTGCTTTGAGGAGCTACAAGCAATTTGCCAGAGTGAAAGCGTAAGAATGCAAGGATTATAAATTTGATGTAAATATGTTAAAGTGCCCTCCTTTTTGAATTTAAAGAGAACGCCTGCAGCACGCGTTCGTACAATATTTCGCCTGAACATGATATCAACATTATTTTCCTCGTTGAATACAGACTTAGATGAAGATGATCAAATTGAAGATCTGGAAAATGTGCAGCCTGTACTAATTGTGATGCAGAAAACAATGCCAATATTTCGACAAATTGCTGAGCTCTGGGTGGAAGAATTAGACGTCCTTGAGGTACGGATTACAATACTAAAAGAAGCGTGTTGATTGATTAATTTAAAATGTTAATGCTTTCTCTATATAGACTGCTTGTACTGCCTTGCAACATGCAATAGTCAATCTCAAATCTAGTTTTCGACCCATGTTGCAAGACCTCTGTTGCTTTATTGTAGCTATTTTCCAAACTCGCTGCTGTGCACCCACACTGGAGATATCGAAAACGGTTACAAGTTTTAATATTTCATTATAAAACGTATAAATTAAATAAGCGGTTTTTGTTTTGAATTTTGAAATAGGCCATTGTCATCTTTTACAAGGACGAGGGGTGCAAGTCTCTGATGCAACAACTTATGGTAGAATTTGTACTTCACAGTTTTAAGTTGTTCGAGGTGAGTTACATAAATAGCAATAACAAAATTGTAACTACAGAAATAAAACTTCTCTCGATTAATTTTTTTGTATGCTTTCTACTGCAAAAATTTTTTAAAAGTTAAAGACTTCTGATTGGGACTATTTTATTGGTTTGACATCAAATGAATTTAACTACCCAGTAGAAGGGAGTTAACAGTCTTTTCTTAATCTCAGTCCGAGTAATAGTCTCAATCTAAGTTTAATCCTTATATGTACATATCGTCGCGGTATTGTATAATTCAATCTCAAAATTAATGCAGCGTGAAGAAAAAGAGCGAGAAATATCAAATCTTTTTCGCGGTGATTTTCTAAATTGCTTCTGCTGCTATGAAATTTCAATATAAAAAATATTGTTTAAGGTGTATACATTTATTTTTTTATCTACAGTCAACGCCGGAAAACGCTTTCTCAAATATCGCCGACACTATAGAAATGTTCTACGCTTGCCTTATGCAAATCATTAAAAAGTTGCCACAAGCGCTCGATGATAAGGCCATTGCTTATGATAAACTAATATATTATGCATTAAAAGCGATGACTTTGCCCGAGAATGGGCCTATTCGGACCAGTGTGCAGTTCCTTTCACATTTTGTACTGCAATCGCGAAATTATACAGGCATGACACAGGCGGTATTGAATGCAGGCGAGGAGATCCTCCGCACGGCGGTTCTGTGTGTAGGTTGTATTACTCCGCGCCAACAAGTGGAGAAATTCGCCGATATTTTCATGTCGATCAACAAAAAATATCCAGCTGAATTGGTTGCTTGGCTAAAGTCAGTGATGCAGGTACCTAACTTTCCTACACAGCTTGTCGACGAAGCTGAGAAATCGAAATTCGTCGCTCAGGTTATAAGGTAAAATAATAATAATAATAAAATAAAGTAAAGTCATCTTATATGAATTGCATTTCGTTGCAGGGAGAAGGTAAACAAACGTCTGCTACAAAAGCATC